TTCATCACAGAACATAGCAAATAAGCACAGAGAAAAGATGGCTTATTCTCATGGACTTATTTCCGGTACAGCTTATATGAGGCTTATTCTCATGGCAGCTTATGCAAAAGCCACTGTCCGAAAGAACTGGCCCCAAGCATCCATAAGAATCATCCCAGTAGCTAGAGGCCGATAAAAAGAAAAGAAAGTGTCGGATAGGTAAACAACGCTGTTGCCATAGAATTTCATTTTGAGAAGGCTTTCGAAGAGAAGTCATCACTACTATTAAGAGTATTAAGAGTAGTGACGACCACTTCTTCACTTTCAATCCAGGTTGAGCCTCCTCTCTTGCTACAGCTGCTTCGATCCTTTGGTCATAATACCCCTGACAGTCCTGAGTACATTCATAAACCGAAAAACAAGTTAGCACATCCAAATCAGAAAATAATTGTACATGTTTGGTAGTATCAATTCACATCTAGAGCTCACCAGCCGGCATGGGCGCGCAGTGTACAACCACAACAGTCGTATATATGGCAAATGAGGCCACAATGGCTCATGGGGTGTGTTGTTGGCGACCACATGCCGCTATCAAGGTGGTACTGCCAAGGGTGACATCTCTCGTGATGCCGGCGAAGCACAATGGTGTCGCTCGTGATCGTAGGAATCACCCCATTATTTGCAGTTTGCATACTTGTTTCGGTATCAAAAAACACAGATTTGCCTCCGATGTTTGTCACCGGGATAACCTTGCCGAGGATAAGATCAGTTACTCTATAAACCACCATATGCGTGTGTGTAGGATCTTTGTAGGCTATGACCAAAATCTCCGAGTCACATTCTGCTAGGCCAATGCCGTCGGAGATTTTCATCGTTGGACATGTGGCAATCAACTTTGATGGCGGTAAGAAAGGTGAACCTAACCCCGAGGTTGTCCCATGCTCATGCATGGGTGGGCCCATCTGGAGAACCTAACGTGCATGGCTAGGTAGGTCATAAGATAAGATGTATAAGTTTCCTTGAAATGATACAGGCCTCCTGGTCCAAAAGAACCTTCGGGTCGACTGGCTCCATTGCTTGTCCTTGGTGGTAGCAAAGATGACGCGTGATAATTCTACAAGCCAGATCATGACTGCGGCGGCGCCATCCGAGCTCACCGTCAAGGAGGTGACCACGCCGCCAGGTACCACATGAGTAGTTATCTCATGGGAACTCAAGTGGAGTTTCGAGTCTGACACGACGGACCCGAGCGGCGGGAGCTCCATAAGGTCGCCGGTGAGGGGGTTGAAAAGACAGATGCTACCTTGATCGTGTTGTCGCTGCTGCCGCTGCAGTAGGAGGATCCCGTCGACCGAGTCGAGGATGCGACAGTTGTCTGGAAGTCGAGGGCAAACCGAAACTCGGGTGGAGAGGCTGAATAGGCGTCTCTTGGCCTTGTCGTCGGGGTCAAACTCTAATCCATGTCCCTCGGGCAGCACCATCCATCGGCGCGGGTGAAAACGCGGGTCGACGATGCCTCGGCCGCGAGCACAGACGGTGCTGGACCGCCAGTGTGTGCAGACTGCGCGGAAGCGGACGTAGTCGAGCAGATCTCCGGCCAGCACTCCACAGCCGACCAGGCGAACCAGATCCGCGTGGAGGGACGCCCATGGAGACGCCTCGTCGGGGACGGTGGCGGAGGCAGCCGCTACAGCCGGAGAGCGCAAGTGATTCGCCGCCGAAGACGTCGACATAGAGCGATCTGTTTTTTTTTTAGAAAAGAGCGATCTGCTCTTTCGCGATGGATCGTGCCGATCGCGACAGGAAATTTTAAAGCGGTTCGATGGAGGAGAGTCGGAGCCCAGCCCGGCGGTATATGCAGTTGGCCTCCGTTAGTTACTCCTAGATCGCAACTAGTATCTGTGCAAACAATTGGTTTCTCGTAATGTAAAAAAAAGTGCAAACAATTTGCCTCAACCCCCTCAGAAAGAATCTTTGCATACAATTTGCCTCATTATCCTAAAAAAAACACATTTGTTCGATAAAGGACGTTTTTATTCACTTATAATGTAGCATCAAGGGGATACAACCATGATGAGCATATACCCGGCCTCTACAAAATAAGGATGCACATAGCCAACAGGCACACACTCACACACACGCAAAATACGCCGGCAAAAAAAAAAGCGAAGTCATATAAGGCCGAAGCTATGCCTAGGCGAAGAGAGAAAAAAAAAGCTGAAATGAGCACCGGCGGCGGGGCCATAGGGCTCCGGCGGCGGGACGGCAGAGGCAGCGGCGGACGGGCCTCCCGGCAAAGGCATGTAAACTTGACGTTAATCTTCACTTGATCTTACGGAGACGTGCATCGGATGATCCGCCGAGACGTGCGATGAGCAAAATTGAGAAGACGCGGACGAGCGATGATGCACTCCAGCCCGTGTAACACCTCCTTGTCCACAACGTGCACCCGTGCATGTGTCTTCATGAGCCATGGCTCCTGGATGCGGACAACGGCGAGCGAGCGGGAGAAGCGCTGCAGGCGGGTGTGCGATGCGAAGGAGCGCTGCGAGTGGGCGTGGCGAGCGCTGCGGGCGGGAGAGGGATGGGCGGCGGACGGCGCGGGAGGAGGCACGCGGGCGGCGGCGGGGCTGTGCCCGGCGCGGGAGGAGGCGCGCGGGCGGCGGCGGCGGAAGACTAGGGTTTTGACTCGGAAACTGAAACCACATAGAATATGTGAATTGCATGATGTATTACTCTTCGTACATAGGTACGTATATATGATATATAAAGATGGGCCACGGACCTTAACTATACAAGGAACTAGGAGGCGGACTCAATTACACAATATGCACATAACACATATACTCAGTAGAAAACATGGATGTACTCCATGCCCATTATGTTCGATTTGATCACATACGGTGCTGTGATGGTTGATCTTATTTACTCCCTCCGTTCCTAAATATAAGTCTTTATAGAGTTTTTACTATGAACCACATACGGATGTATATAGATGCATTTTAAGTGTAGATTCATTCATTTTGCTCTGTATCTAGTCCACCTTGTGGAATCTCTACAAAGACTTATATTTAGGAACGGAAGGAATAGATTATTAAAAATGAGGAGACTGGGAAAACACACATACACGTGCACATGTCAGCATATGTTTTCAGTAACAATCCGAACTTCAATATGTAATGTAGCTAGCCAGCCGTAGTAAAGGCTGGTGCTGAATTCAAACGAGATCAAGAGAATACTTGTATGTTGGCCGGAATTAAACAAGCAAGTTCACGGTACATAGCACAAACTTAAGTCTCTAACTGAGAAACAATTACACTTCGACCCGCTTGTGAGTACAATGGCAGCAATCATATATATGGTAAATGAGGCCACAATTGCAGCCATGCGGACCATCACATTCATCCATTATTTGCGACCATTTTGCACTACCGAGATGGTACTGGAAAGGATAACCGTTGCAAGAACGTACAATAGTATCGCTCTTAACTGCAGGCATCGCTCCATAACTGCTAGTCATACTGCTTGTGATGAGAATATCGCCATCTTTGATGTTCATGCTCGGATTGATATCAAGGAAGAGAGTATTGCCTCTGATGCTTGTTACCGGGGCAATTTTGCCAATGGCAAGATCGGCTACTCGATAAACCACTAGCTTGTTACCGGGACATCTAAGCCACATTCCGCTATGGTGAAGAAACGAAATTTGCTTGCCGGACACATAGCAATCAACTTTGGCGGCAACAAAGAAGACGACATTGCCCCATACTCATAACTAGGTGGGTCAAGCCGTAGTATTGGTCGTCCGCTGCTACCCGTAGTATGAGGCTCTAGTATATAAAACTTTCCATGGAATGATATGGGCACGGACAAGGGTGAGAGGCTCCAGTTTGAGACCCTCCACAGCTGGTCATTGGCGGTAGCAAAAAATACACCGCGCATGTATTGATGCACGATCATGACTATGATAACTCCATCCGCGCTCACGCTCAAGGATGTGATGAACTTGAGCTGCACCGGATCACACCGTCCCCCTATATCTAGGTTCCAGTGGGATTTCATGAGCGGCGGGAGCTTCACAATGTCGTCGGTGAAGGGGTGAACGATCAAGGTCTTGGCGTTGGCTTTGTAGAGGACAAGGAGGCCTTCGACCGAATCAAGGACACGATGGTCCATGAAGAGAGGCAGCGAGACGCAAGCGAAGACTCCGGTCGCGAGATTCACGAACCGTCTCTTATCGATGCGAGGGTGAATGCCGTGACCCTCGGGCAAAATCATCCACCGCCGCGGGTGAAAGCGTGGATCGACGATGCCACGTCCGTGCGGACAGACGGTGCTGGACCGCTAGTGCGCGCACACGGCCAGAAAGCGGGCGTAGTCCACCAAGTCTCCGGCCAGCACCCGCCAGCCGACAAGGCAGACCAAATCTGTGGGGAGAGATGACCATTGTGCAGTCACGTCCTCGGAGCCGAGGGCAGCAATGGCCGGAGGGCGCTGTGCAGTTTCGGACGACGCCATGAATATTCTGACCCCGTGGGTTATTATGTTTTTATTGGAAGAACATCGTGGAGTTAAAAAGTCCTGGAGATGTCAGAGTTGGGCCCGGTCTTCACTATCGACACGCCCCAGGCCTAATTAGTTTACTTTTGGAAGGTTAGTGCCCTGGCCCAGGCCCAGATCACATTCAACTCCAGCCCTCCTAAATGGACGCCGACAATTACTGCCTGGCCCAATCGAGTTGGCCAGGACGATAATCAAACAGGTGTGCTAAAAAAAAACCAAACAGGCCAATCTAAAATACGCTACAATCAGGATTAAAATACACTACAATTTGGATATATGAATTAGGCAAGCAATTTGCTAACAGGAACAACAAATTTTTCCAACCATAAAGCATCACTTAATCTTCATAAACAGTGCGAGTACACATTGTTGCGCATTTATTTATAACACACATAGTCTCAGCTCTTCCCCACTTGTTATTAATAGAAGATTTCCGCGATAGAACAACCACCGACATGCTACTGCCTTAAGCTTTGCAGAATATACTGCGCATACAGGTCCCTGCGGTGAAAAAAGAAAAGAAAAGAAGCGTCAACGTAAAGCAAAAGACACATTCACCATCATCACTTGTGAAACTAAAAGGAAAAAATACATCTTGGTAGAGATCAACACGAAACTGTACTTACATCGAATACTGAATGGCCTCGCGGGCAGTGGTCGCAGGTAAGAACGCATCGACAGCGACCTCCTTGTTCTCATTCTTCTTGTCTAGAAGTTACGGCTAAGGATGCAAATAAATGTACTACCTCTAAACTATATACAGTAGTATATAAGATACTCTGCTAGCTACGGCATGTAACAAGGAAAACAAATAAATTGGATTATGCAGGATACAGTCTTCAAAGAAGCGCTTGATCTCTTGGAGGCGGTGAGGAGACAGCTCGCTGATGTCATTGTAGTGACGGTATTCAGGATCATCAGCACAGACTGCTATGATCTTGTCATCCTTTTCGCCCTGATGAAAACCAACCGCCATCCTCAGTAAAACAAGGTAATGCTATTTTCGTTCATCTCCCATTAACGCGCAGAGAATGAACAAGGAATACCTGATCAATCATGGGCATAAGGCCAATTGCTCTAGCTCGGAGGAAAGAACCAGGAATAACAGGCTCCTGTGATAGATAAAAGAGTAACACAATGATCACTTCCCCCTCTGTTTCAGTTTATAAGGTCTGCACAATTTGTCTCAAGTCAAAACCCATAATATTTAACCATGATATTGTCAAGTTTATGAGTGCTTGACTTAAGACAAACCAGATCAGCCTTATAAAATAAAAAGGAGATACATTATGCTTGGAGTGCATGAACATGGTAAGACTAACCTGCATCAGGACCAACACATCCATTGGATCGTTGTCTTCACAAAGTGTTCTCGGAATGAAACCATAGTTGTGAGGATATACAACTGATGAGTACAGAACTCTATCAACCTGTCATGTTGTATAACATAATAACAAAAGTACATTATGCTTTGACGGAAAATAGCAAAATAAGTTAACTCATGAGTACAGGGCTAGATCAATTCAGCAAGTACAGCAATAGAGGTGCATTATGCTGGTGGATGCTTTTCAATTTATCATTCCTTACACACGTACAGTAAAAAAATATTAAAGCAATTTATTGTCATGAAATAGAAAGTGTTGATCTTATATACAAACAGAACACACCTTAATCAGTCCAGTTTTCTTGTCAAGCTCATATTTTACTTTGCTTCCCTTTGTGATCTCAACAACCTGCAGTAGCATATACATGTAAACAGTTAAATTCATGAGTTCAAAGCACTGCTGGACCAACTTTACATAAAGAGTCTAGCATCGTTAACAGAACAACCAAGACCACTCAATATACTTGTGTGTTACTGAGAAGCAATTTTGCTAAACAGTAGATTAGATGATAAATGCATCTTAATGTTGCACAACTATATATCAACTGGTCAATAAAGTTAAACATGTTTGTTGAAAAAATGTACGTTGGGAAAAATGGTTAGATTAAAAGCGCTTATCTTTCAATTTCAAGCCTAGAAACTAGTGCTACAATTCGTAAGTCATAAAAATAATAATATCAAGGAAAAAAATTCCGGGGGTAACTACAGGTCTAAAATCACAGTGACAATTTTACTTGTATCACAATCACAGACCCAATCCAGCCAAAGGAGATTTAAATAGTTACAGAATCAACAAATAAAGTAGAGGCATGCTGAAGTCAGTGATACGAGGTTATCAACAGATAGTGCACAACTGCACATCCAATACTAAGCATACTACCATCATTAGCCTCAATATTGATGTTAGGCCAATTGAATTCAGTATAAGGATAAAACAGTGAGAACCGGTGGATGAATTCCATGTATGATGCTATTTTTATTTTCTTATGGTGGGTAGATTTGTGTGCCATTTGATACCGATTGCTTTATTTTGAACATTTTAGCTGGCATGTCTATACACTACTGAACTGAAACGGCTGAGGAAAACATTGAAATGTTACCACAGGCTCTTACAATTGCAATACTGATCGAACATCAGTTATTTTGATTCAGACATAGCCCAAATCACCTTTTACCAAGCGCAACCTTACATAAACTAAAAAGAGGCTGTCTGGTATATTCTGGTTGTCACTTTGAGCTTAAGAAATATTTCAGCAACGACAGAAATTCAATATATTTCAGTGATTTCAGTTTGCATTTTCGCCAAAGGGCCGATATTTGAACTCATGTGTACCACTGAAATTACTGAAATGTTTGGAACGAAAGGTAAATATTCAGTGTATTTCATCGAGATCTCACTGAAAGTGAAAAGCAACTGTTGCCTACTTCCTAGTACAGAGTGCAATGAAGCATCAAAATGTGCTTCAGAATCAACTGCATCCTCAGAGATCCCATAGACAGACAACAATATAGTCAACAATGACATTCCATTGTGTGGATGCCAATAGTCCACCACTTGCCCAAGATGCAACTTCCTAATTTACTTTGCGACAACAGAACATCAAATATCTTAACTGGCGAAGATGTTCAGCTGGCAAGGTAAAAAGATGGTACTTACCACATTGAACACCGCTGGAGCCCCAGGGCCTGTGCACCAAACACTCGATCAGCAATTCAGCATGCTTATTTTTTATAAAGGCATTCAGTAATGGAGAAAAGACGGCTCCTCCTCCTCACCGATCTCGAGATCATGCCACGGATGCGCGGCCACCGCCCTCCTCGACAGCGACGACAGGATCCTCTCGTTGAGCTTCGGAGCTGGCCGGCTCGTCGGCTGCTGCGCGGCGGCGGCGCTCGTCGAGTCCTCTTCGCTCATCCTGCTGCAAAGATGAACCACGAATCAGACCTCGGAGGAGGAACAGCAGGCATGTTCGTTTCATCCGGCGAAAATCCATGCTAAATAGGACCTTTTTTTCCTACGAAGTTCAGGGTCACGCCCGTGCACAGCAGCGGAGTAGCCCCTTTTGACCCGATTGGTGCTGGGTTCCTAGCCACGCCTAGATGGAGCCTCCGCGAGGAGCATGAACAGATCAGCCGCACAGAACACGGAGAGATCGAACCGGAGTTCGCCGGCGGCGAAATCGGGACAAGGCAGAGCAAATCGACACTGGCGCCTAGCTAACCACCTTGTATCGGATCGACGCGATTGAAAAGAAGCTTTTGGGTCACCTGCGCTGCGGTTGGAGGCGGCCTCTTGAAACGACGAGCGGCGGCGGCGGCGGCGGCGGCGGTGGGAGGAAGAGTAGATTGGCTCCTCTGCTCTGCTCGGCTCACTCTGTCGCGGGCGCTTAAAATGGAAGGGAGTGAATGCTGATTGCTTTGGCTTTTCCAGCCAGCACCCTGCTCTATTATTTAGTCACAGATCAGTCCCTGGGTAGAGTCTAGCCTAACGAGTAACCACTGCCTACTTATCTCTTTGTATTTTTATATCCTGTCCAACTATTAATACTCGTGTGTCACTCACATCTCCTTTGTATTTTGAAATGAGGACAAAGTTTGGTTTTAAACAAAAGATGGCCAAATGGGATTAAAAAATGATCATGTCTCTCTCTGTCAAGGAACATAAAGAAAAGGAACGCCTTATTGTATCCATGTAAGAGCATGTATTACGCTCCATCATGGACAGCTGCCCCATTATCCACGTATGAGGAATGGATGATGTGGAGAAGAGAGATAAAAAAGATGGCTGCCTGCAAACCAACACGGGATCTTGCAGAGGAGCAGGTTGCTTCGGTGAAAAAGCTGAGAGAGAGAGGCAGGGACCGCAAGGAAAAGTGGAGCAGATGAAGAGAGAGAGAGATTGCATGGGGGGATTAACTGCATGTGCTGCCTCATTTCTATGCGCCTGAGGGCATGTACAATGCATAGCCTCAAGGTGATGCCTCACATGCCATGTAGGATCGGATATGCCGTAAAGTAGGTTCGGATAGGGAAGCGGGATCCTCTCTAGGAGGCGGGTGCTTGAAGAGAAAAAGTGTGATCCAATGACAAAAGCTGAAAAGGTTAGAGTGAAAAGTAGAGATGCATGTGTACTAGAGTCTTTATTTTTTATTTCTTAATTAGGCCCACTAGTGATAGCTTGCATTGGAGAGAAAAATTAATGTAGATGCTTCAAATTACTTTTTGTCATGGGGCATATGTATCCATATGTCACCATTGTACATGCCCTGAGTGGATACTGAGACCACACCATACCAGTGCTTCTGATGAAGACTCAACTAGATGGCGAGTCGTTCGTCGGCCCGATCTTTCACGATACTGGCAATAGCACAAGAAATTTCGATCGAGCAAATATGCAAGACCGTAAGATCAAAAGAAACTAGCGTTGAGTAGATTAGATCGGCTCCACGCGCAGCAGCAACAAATCCCAATGGATCAGCAACGAAGACAATATTTGGTGTCCCTCGACATAGGACGTTTTCTAACTATTATTGAACTCACGATGAAACAAAACTTGACCTTCTTTACACGGCGTATCCCTGCTTTTATAACGTGCGCGCAGGCACTTCTCAACCGACTCCATGTAAGCGAATCTGAAACGGACTCTCCTATCCAAACAAAATAAGATTTGACTAATTAATATTTCGGCAACGCTGATCACCTTCCAACTAACTTAGACTTAAAACGTATACGTAACTAGTACTTGTGCAACCTTTGGACTCTACTATAATACCAAGCTAACAAAACTAGTATTTCTTGTGCCGATCGGATCACGGCTTCTTCGGTGGAGTCCTAAAATTTGGTTTAACTTCATCTTGCGGTGGAGAAATCTGAAGTATCATAGAACCAATCTGTATATATGAAAAAGCTTCTAAAATACCAGCTTCTTTCCCTTTTGGAACTGTCACGGTCAACTTCTCATGCATCGGTGTAACTTTAATATTTCTTGGACGAGTGACAGTAGTCTTGGCATAGATGGTCACATCATCCTGCCCCTCTTGAAATGAAGCCATCCTTGGCTTCAAGATACCTTTAGGGATCTTACAGACAACGTTCTTGATTGCACTAGAGAACATCGGCTGTAACATACGTCGCCTTCCAGAGTCCCAAAAGGAATAAGTGTTGGACCTCCCATCATGTGTAGCTCGATGATCATATTGCCATGGCCTCCCCAACAACAAATGGCATGCATCCATTGGTAGAACATCACAGATAACTGTATCGATATAATTGCCAACCGAAAAATTGATGCGCACCTTGTGAGTAACTTTCAGTTTGCCCGACTGATATAACCATTCGACACAGTGTGGTTGTGGGTGCTTCCAGGTTGGTAAAGCAAAAGCATCCACCAAGTCCTTGCTGACTGCATTAGTGTAGCTTCCACCGTCGATGATCAACTTGCAATTGGTGTTGTTGATCTTGCACTGAGTCTGAAAAATATTCCAACGCTGCCCCTTATCCTCAATGCGATCCTCTTGCACACGCTGCACCATTAAGGACGGATATGATTCAGCAGCTTCAAAACTAGCAGTCACCTTCTCAGCATCTTCAAATTTTTCACTAGAAGTGTCAGAAACTGCCTCTTCATCACTCGCGGATGCATAGCCATCTTTTGTGAGCAATACTCTCTTCTCATTAGGACATTCACGCTTCATATGTCCCCTTCCTCCACACTTGAAACACTCTATGTCACTGGAACGATTGGTCGACTGTGCACTAGAATCAACCCTCGACGGTCCTGATTTTGAAGCATTCTTTTGCACGGAACCATGAGGGCGATTTGATGTTGCCGTCCTCGAGCTAGGACCGATATCCTCACTCTGATGCTGGGAGCGTCGCCATGTGTTCAAAGTGGTACTGGGAACTGTGTTGACTTGGCGCCGCTTAATCTGTTGTTCCGCACGCACAGCTTGATGCACAAGATCTTGTATATTGTAGTAGACCACCATCTCAACACGTTCCTGCACCTCGATATTTAGCCCGTTAAAGAAACGTGACATGGTCGCCTCCGGATCCTCCGTTGTCCCTGTACGTATCATAAGCAATTCCATCTCCTTGTAATATTCATCAACACTCAAATTACCTTGAGAGAGCCGCTGCAACTTGCTGTACATATCTCTTTTATAGTGCTCAGGAACAAAATGGCGCCTCATGAATTCTTTCATACCTCGCCAAGTCACGGGCGATGTCTTGAACGACAAATTTGATTCCACCAAATTAGCGCGTAACCGGTAAACTCAATTCCAGCAAGTTGAACTTTCTTCTCCTCGCTATAATGATGGGCATCAAAAATTTGATCAACACGCATCTCCCACTCCAAATAGCCTTCTGGTTCACACTTGCCGGAGAACGAATGGATTGAAATTTTTATGCGCCCAATTCCATCATCCAAAGGCACACGCACAGCTTGACCAACTCGGTCATGCACTCCACCACGAATGGATGTTTCGGGACGAGGCTCATAGTGTCGTGGTCGTGGCGCGTACCCCACGTGGCCAATGCCATCACCGAAACCATCATCTCCAGCATGAGGGTGTGCCGCCAGATGGCGATCATGCACGCCAGCATATCCGTTGCGAGCTGGTGGTGCATAATACAGTGGAGCAGCCGAAGCAGTCTGTGATGGTGCAGAAGTCGCTGCCGGCATATTGATGATGTCTGCCAAACCATCGAACCGAGTGATCAGGACATCTATCCTTTTGCCGAGCGCGTCATGACATTGCTTGATGTAGTTGCATGTGTGGTCAAAACCATCCCGAATATTTTGAGGAATATCATCCGCATACACTGGACGCACTATTTCCTCAGAATCAGCAGGAACCTCATCACCCTTGTCGGCCGAGGTTGACATCTTAATCAACACAGTACCGTGAACAACCTTAGCTCTGAATACCACTTGATGAAGACTCAACTAGATGGCGAGTCGTTCGTCGGCCCGATCTTTCATGATACTGGCAATAGCACAAGAAATTCCGATCGAGCAAATATGCAAGACCGTAAGATCAAAAGAAACTAGCGTTGAGTAGATTAGATCGGCTCCACGCGCAGCAGCAACAAATCCCAATGGATCAGCAACGAAGACAATATTTGGTGTCCCTCGACATAGGACGTTTTTTAACTATTATTGAACTCACGATGAAACAAAACTTGACCTTCTTTACACGGCGTATCCCTGCTTTTATAACGTGCGCGCAGGCACTTCTCAACCGACTCCATGTAAGCGAATCTGAAACGGACTCTCCTATCCAAACAAAATAAGGTTTGACTAATTAATACTCCGACAACGCTGATCACCTTCCAACTAACCTAGACTTAAAACGTATACGTAACTAGTACTTGTGCAACCTTTGGACTCTACTATAATACCAAGCTAACAAAACTAGTATTTCTTGTGCCGATCGAATCACAGCTTCTTCGGTGGAGTCCTAAAATTTGGTTTAACTTCATCTTGCGGTGGAGAAATCTGAAGTATCATAGAACCAATCTGTATATATGAAAAAGCTTCTAAAATACCAGCTTCTTTCCCTTTTGGAACTGTCACGGTCAACTTCTCATGCATCGGTGTAACTTTAATATTTCTTGGACGAGTGACAGTAGTCTTGGCATAGATGGTCACATCAGCTTCCATAGCTCATGCCCTAAAAAAGGCGCACACACCAATTAATTTATCAATCTGGCCATGTAGGTTGTGACATATTGTAACCACGGGTTGCACTAGTTTAGTGCTAGTGTTGCAGGTGCTAGATACACGACGGAAACGGTTTGTCGTTTTCGCTCACAAGGATCATGGTGTCCACCCACTTGTTCGAACATTCGAGCCACCATTGATTCGTCGAGGACAAGCAATCACAATACGACACCTAAATTTGTTAGTGA